AATGATAAATTTTCTTCTCCCTTCCTAAAAGTTGTAATCCCTTTTTTTCTATTTCCCATCTTACTATATTGGATTTTTTGGAATAATATTAAATAATTCAGTAATGAGATATCCTTGTTTATTTCTTTCCTTTTTTTTTTATTTTGAGATGGAGTCTTACTGTGTTGTCCAGGCTGGAGTGCAATGGTGCTGTCTCGGCTCACTGCAACCTCTGCCTCCAGATTTAAGTGATTTTCCTGCCTCAGCCTCCCAAATAGCTGGGACTATAAGAGCGTGCCACCACACCAGGCTAATTTTTTTGTATTTTTAGTAGATGCAGGGTTTCACCAGATTTGCCAGCCTGGTCTCAAACACCTGACCTCGTGATCCACCCGCCTTGGCCTCCCCAAGTGTTGGGATTACAGATGTGAGCCACGGCGCCCAGCCTTTTTTTTTTTTTAAACGCTATGTTGCTCAGACTGACCTCAAGCTCCTGGGCTCAAGGGATCCTCCCTTCTTAGCCTTCTGAGTAGCTGGGACTACAGGCACTTGCAACCATGCAGGGCAGCTCATTTCATGTTTACATAACTTGTTGATTTTATATATACACATATATAATGAATATTAAAACTATTAAGAATATTTATGGCTGGGCACAGTGGCTCAGGCCTATAATCTCAGCACTTTGGGCAGCCAAGGCTGGTGGATCACCAGGTTAGGAGTTCAAGAGCAGCCCGGCCAATATGGTGAAACCCTGTCTCTACTAAAAATACAAAAAAAATGGTGGCACATGCCTGAAGTCCCAGCTACTTGGGAGGCTGAGGCGGGAGAATCACTTGAACCTGGGAGGTGGAGGTTGCAGTGAGCTGAGATCATGCCATTGCACTCCAGCCTGGGTGATAAACTGAGACTCCTTCTCAAAAAAATAAAAGAATATTTACAGAAAATGCAGTTAGCTTACTGTATTCTCTTCTTTGACAATTAACAACCATCAAATATTTTTTGTTTGGTTTATTTTTTATCTATTCTATAAAGAAATTTCCTAATACCTTTGTGTTAATTATTGGGATAAACCCTAAGTAGTTTATATAAATTAGGTTTATATAATTACTATGTCAACATACTGTTAAGTTTTATTTATTAATCCTAAGTATTTTAGGAATCTTACATTTATATCCATAAGTGAGGCTCTATAGCTTTTTTGGGGGTATAATTTCTGACAGGTTTTGATATTAGATGTGTTTGATCTTCACAGATAAATTGGGTAGTTTTTAATCTTTTTCTATGTTCAGAACAGTTCCTGCTTTCTATTCATTTGGACAGATAAACACTGTATAATAGAGATGACAAAAAAGATAATGCAAATCGGCACAGATTATTTTGCCTCAGTAACTCTGCCACTTTTATAGCTGGAGGACAGCCTTGATTGTGAAGAAGCAATCTGGAGCAGTAGGAGGGTCAAATGGGCCATTATTTTGGTGTTGAAGAGTGTGGCTGTCTGGGCAGGCACAGAGGTGAGTGAAGGTGGGCCTGGGGAGGGAGGCAAGCGCTGAGGGAGGAGGGGACGAAGACGAAAAGAGTTTTCCAATGGGCTAGAGGTATTTAAACAAGGACAAAAAAACAAGATAAGGTGGAAGAATTGGGCCTGAAAGTGAGGAATGCTGGAGCGGGGGGATAGGTGGGAGCATTATCTGGGAGACCCCTTTCCAGAAAGTCTCCAGTGTTCCAGCCTGTTGGTCGTCGGCACCTATTGGAGAAAGTAACATTATTTCTCATCCAGCGTATTTGCCCTTCTGTCCCACCATTTCCCTATCTTCATTCATCTCAGCCGAGGCAAAAGTCCCATAATATTACAGTAATTCATATACTTCTGGTCCCAAAAGCTCAGTATGCAGAGCAGAACAAGGCAGAGCATAAGGTAGACTTCACCAACTTTGACTTAATGCCTAGGGACAGGATGTGTTCAAACTGCTCTACTTCTTTTCATTCCTTCCCTTCCTGCTTCTCTACAACTCATGTAGACAGACCTATGGTCACACACTGTGTTGTTGTTGTTTTTGAGACAGAGTCTCGCTGTGTCACTCAGGCTGGAGTGCAGTGGTTTGATCTTGGCTCACTGCAACCTCTGCCTCCCGGGTTCAAGCAATTCTCCTGCCTCAGCCTCCTGAGTAGCTGGGATTATAGATGCTCACCACCACGCCTGGCTAATTTCTTGTATTTTTAGTAGAGACATGGTTTCCCCATGTTAACCAGGATGGTCTTGATCTCCTGATCTCATAATCTGCCTGCTTCGGCCTCCCAAAGTGCTGGGATTACAGGCATGAGTCACCACACCCAGCCAAGATGCTGTGTTTTATGGCACAGAAGAATGCTATAGGAAAGGCGCAGAGCAACGTGATATGGAATTACTGAGAAGTGTTCAGCATGATGCTAGCCACAATGCTGAGGCTATTTGGAATGAAAAGACAAAGACAACACAGACCAAAGAAAGTCAGCCCATGTAAACTTACTTTAGGGTCAGTCAGAAATTCTAGGCTCTTTTTACATGAATCCTTTAGAAAATTATTTTAGCTGGTGGCAAAACTGACATTACTATTTCATAGACAGATTGTCCTCTCTCCCTCTCACCCATGATGGGTTAGTTAGCAACCAACAGCAGCTACCAGCTTGACGTCAGGGGTGAGATGCAAGGAGCACAGATAGTCCACAATCTAGACAATTAGCTTCTAAAGAAAAAAACATCTAATAAGTCTTCTGTGAATGTAAAGTTTGTTTGGGCACAGGTAGGGCAGAGAATAAGCAGACCTCTTCAACAACTCTTTTACCTCTTAAAATGCTGGTGGAGACCAGGTGTCATGGCTAACGCCTTTAATCCCAACACTTTGGGAGGCTGAGATGGATCACCTGAGGTCAGGAGTTTGCAACCAGCCTGGCCAACATGGTGAAAACCCATCCCTACTAAAAATACAAAAATTAGCTGGGTGTGGTGTTGCACAGTGATCCCAGCTGCTTGGGAGGCTGAGGCAGGAGAATTACTTGAACCTGGGAGGTGGAGGTTGCAGTGAGCTGAGATTGTGTCACTGCACTCCAGCCTGGGCTATAGAGCAAGACTCCATCTCAAAATAAAATAAAATATAATATAATACACACAAAATGCTGGTGGAGCACTCACCCACTTGCTGAGAACAACCACTTACTGGAAAGACCTGGAGGAAAGAATTCCAAATAAATTCTGTAGATACTCCCAATTCTAAGGAGGGGGAGCTTAGTGACTTCTTTCCAATGAATACAGTATGGAAAGCTGGGGCCAGGGAGAGGGTGAGAGAGAATCACTTAACAGTGGAGAAGCCGGATAAACTACTTCTTGCCAGATGATCAAAGTCAACATTAAATCATAAATCATGTGGATAGTATGTACCCTTGATATGATGTGATTAAAGTAGCAGTTTTTTTTTTTTTTTTTGAGACAGTCTCACTCTGTTGCCCAGGCTGGAGTGTAGTGGTGTGATCTCGGCTCACTGCAGCCTCTACTTCCCTCGTTCAAGTGATTCTCCTGCCTCAGCCTCCAAGTAGCTGGTATTACAGGCATGCCCCATCAAGCCCAGCTAATTTTTGTATTTTTAGTAGAGATGGGTTTTCACTATGTTGGCCGGGCTGGTCTTGAATTCCTGACCTCAGGTGATCCACCTGCCTTAGCCTCCCAAAGTATTAGGATTATGGGCATGAGCCACCGCACCTGGCAAAAATACCACTTTAACTCTGTGATCTTCCTTCCCAAATCACAACCCCAGTCTAAGCATGAGAAATACAGACAAATTCCAGCAGAGGGATATCCTACAATATACCTAATCAGTACCCCTCAAAATTACCAAGGTCATCCAAAACAAGGAACATCTGAGAAAGCATCATAGCCAAGAGGAGCCTAAGGAGACATAGCAACTAAATGTCATATGATATCCTGCATGGGATCCTGGAGCAGAAAAAAGTCTGTGGGTAATAATAATAGTAATGATAATAGTAGACAAAAGCACCTCCAGTCCCTTCAGGCTTCATGGTGCATTTTTTTAGTTCTTTGGTTTTCAGACTTTCATTCTTTTGAGGCACTTGCATTGCACCCAGGGTTCCCCAGAACTTATCCTATCCCACAGCCTTTCCGTATTTCCTATGGCTCTGTCCCCTACGAGCGATGGTGATCTCAAGTCTTGTGGCTTCAGTTCATTTCTTCTGGCGACCTCCATCTCACATGGTTCAGATCACTGTTCATCCAACTTTCTATTACACAGCGCCCCCTAGACGTTCAATTCAGCATGACCAAACCCAAACCCTGACTTCCTAAACCCGCTTCTCTCATTTCTTGCTCACTGCATAGACAGAGTCGTAGGCATCACCCCTGGCTTTTCTTTCACAGGGTTCCCTGCCAGTCGATCCCTAAGTTCTGCCAGCGGCGCCTGCGTGGGGCGGACTCTTGTATCGTGTTCTCTTCTTTATCCTTGCTGCCAGGCCCTCAACACCTGTGAGCCCTCTTCCTTCAGGAGTTCCCATTTACCTCCCTATGCCTTTCCTTGCTTCCTTCCTTTCCATCTCTAGCAGCTACTGACATGGGAAAATGTAGATTCTCTCGGGTCTCCACGCCAGGCAATTTCATGACTGCTACCCAATGAAATTCCTTACCGTGAATTCCTTTTCTCCATCTTGAGGTGTGTGTTTAGGCGTTTATTTACATCTTTTGTGTTTGAAACAGAATCACTAGGAAGTAGCTGAGTTACCACAGTTTATTTTAATATGTAGCATTGTAAAGTGACAAAGCCCATTTTAATAGCACCAGCCATTAACCCAGTTTTCTCAATTGACACAAGAAAAACACCTCTGAAGGTAGTTACGGGAAAACCTGACATTAGATGACTGCGGAACCCAACCAACCTAGGACCTGAAAATGAAAGTGAAGATAATAAAGAAGCTACAAACTGAGATAGGAAGGGGAAATTAGAAAATGCTCATGTAGCAAAAGAGAGCGGCCTCACCGAGCCAGCCAGGAGTCGAACCTGGAATCTTCTGATCCGTAGTCAGACGCGTTATCCATTGCGCCACTGGCCCTGGGATAGGAGCGTTTTCTTCTCTGCTATTACTTCAAGGTTATACTGCAGGGTTTCATGGGAGGTGTAGTTTCTTAACTGAATTCGGCCGCTGCACTAAGCATTCTGGGAGATTGAAGTTCATCAGAAACCAGACCCTGAGATTGGTGGATCTGCAGGAGCCACGCCGTACGCCACTGTGCAGCCGGCGGATTGGAGGGAAAAGCCACTCTCCTTCTCTCCCGTTCAGGAGCGGTGGCAGACGCTCTGGTTGTTAAGGCGACTCGTCCCGCCTTCTGGGGGGGGGGAGGGGGCTTCAGTTCGGCTTTGTGATTGGCTACTACTATCAAGGAATCCCGGCGTGGACAGCGCGAGGAAAAAGATGGCGGCGATGGCGGTCGGGGGTGCTGGTGGGAGCCGCGTGTCGAGCGGGAGGGACCTGAATTGCGTCCCCGAAATAGCTGACACACTAGGGGCTGTGGCCAAGCAGGGGTGAGGGCCGGATCTCCACGAGCGGAATGCTGGGTCCGAACTCGGGGACGGAGAAGGGCAAACTAGTCATCCCGGAGAAGCAGGGGTGAGGGGGTCGGCTAGGATGAGGGCGGGAGAGACTATTACTCTTTGGAGGGGAGGATCCTCGGACCCAGGAAAGTGAGGAAAAGAACTTATGAGGGGCCTGTGGTCACTGAGTCCAAAAGTTGGGGGAGTTGTTGGGTAAACTCAAAAGGGCCCTGGAGGTTGCGATTATTGTCTGGGAGTGGGAGGAGGTTTTAGGGGGCAAGGGAGAGAAGAGGCTAATTTTGACGGGGGAGGCATGGGCGGAACTGGGGCAAATCAGGATGTGATGTTCTGGAAAGACTGTCACTTGAGGAGAAAAAAATTCTGCTTGTGGATTTCCATCGTTTTCTCCTTACATTTTCCATGGCTGTGTTTTGGGGAGAAATTGAGGCACAGTACAGCAGAAGTGATATCCCCCAAGGTGGTCTGAACTCAGCAGCCTAGTGGGGTGAACTGATGGCAGCTGAAAGGGCTGTGGAAAAATCAAGGTAGCCTAAATCCAGTTGCTTGGCTCTCTGGCACTGCTGCTCTCTTTACATGATTCTGGGTCTGTCGCGGTTGTAGGTTTGATTTCCTCTGCATGCCCGTCTTCCATCCGCGTTTCAAGAGGGAGTTCATTCAGGAACCTGCTAAGAATCGACCTGGCCCCCAGACACGATCAGACCTACTGCTGTCAGGAAGGGGTAGGGACCATCCCATATGCCCCTTAATTATTAGAGGCAATAACAACTTAAGCTTTATCGGGGCCCTCATTCTCCTCCTTTTCTGACTTGGATATATTTGTTAGTCCCTGGGATATAAATAACTTGTTTTCTCCTTGCTTCTCTATTCTGCACCAGGCTATCCCACATCTATGTAGAAAAAAACCTTTGTCTCTCATTTCTACACTTGAGTTCCTACTAAAAACTGAAAATTGAACAAGTAAAGTGCTGAACCTTATTCAGTATTTGTCTTTCTTGGGTGGGGGAGTGCAGACTGGAATACGCTAATTGTGGGAAAGCTTTCTCCATGGATCCGTCCAGACTCAAAAGTGGAGAAGATTCGCAGAAACTCTGAGGTGGTAAGACTGACTTCTTTGCTGGATCTTTCTAAAGATTAGGTCTGTAACCATGCTGGGTGGGGAAAGTGGCCCCCTCCCACCCCCAGTAACTTGGTAAATCAATTGAAACAATGAAATGAAAGCTATTAGGCTGGGAGCAGTGATGCACACCTATAATCCTAGCACTATGGGAAGCTGAGGCTATAGGATCACTGGAGCTCAGGAGTTCGAGACCAGCCTGGGCAGCATAGTGAAACTTCGTATCTATAAAAAATACAAAACTTAGCCAGGCATGGTGGTGCATGCCTGTGGTCCCAGCTACTCAGGAGGCTGAGGTAGGAGGATGAATTGAGCTTGGGGAGGTCGAGGCTGCAGTGAGTCAAGATTATGCCACTGCACTCCAGCCTGGGTGACAGAGTAAAACTTTGTCTCAAAAAGAAAGAAAAGAAAGCTATTTGCTTGTTAACTCAACCTTTTCCTCTTTATCTCCATTTCAGGCCATGTTACAGGAGCTGAATTTTGGTGCATATTTGGGTCTTCCAGCTTTCCTGCTGCCCCTTAATCAGGAAGATAACACCAATCTGGCCAGAGTTTTGACCAACCACATCCACACTGGCCACCACTCTTCCATGGTATAGCTGAGAGGCTCTTTTCCTGCTGCATATCATGGTAGTCAGATTGTGTTAAGTGCCTTTTTGTGCCTAGCCATTCAGTGAAGGTTATGTTTGGCAGAATTTAAATATAAGTATTGCCAGGCACAGTGGCTCATGCCTGTAATCCCACCTTGGGAGGCTGAGATGGGCAGATTGCTGAGCTCAGGAGTTCAAGACCAACTTGGGCAACATAGTGAAACCCCGTCTCTACCAAAAAAAAAAAAAAAAAAGCCACACAACACAACGCAAATTAGCCAGATGTGGTGTCATGCACCTGTAGTCCCAGCTACTTGGGAAGCTGAAGTGGGAGGATGACTTGAACCTGTGAGGCGGAGGTTACAGTGAGCTGAAATTGTACCACTGCACTCCAGCCTCAGTGACAGAGCCAGACCTTGTCCCCCCAAAAAAGGTCAGATTGCCCTGCCCATCTAAAAGTGGTATGAAGAGAATTTCAGAACATGTAAATGTAATTATTTTAGAAACTTACATAAGGCAGATATTTACCTAAGGATATTTACCTAAGATACACGTTCACTTACAAAATCACAAATTGGGAAAAGCATAAAGGGATTAACGAGGTCTGGATGAAGACTTTTTTAATTGAGGGAAACTTTCTGGACCCAATCAGTTCAAAAGAGAGTTCTAAAAGGGTGAATGTTTATGTGCAGTTCTGGATGCGGGTACCATTGGTGGCACCAGAAGACCTGAGAGATGATATAATTGAGAATGCACCAATTACACACACGCAGGAGTACAGTGGGGAGGAGAAGACATGGATGTGGTATGTCTCCCTTTGCTGCTGTACCAGGGTGCAAGGGATAGGGTGAGGGGAAGTACAGAGCGGAACCTGTAGGGAGGTCTTGAGCTATGGTGATTGGTCGGCCATATGTAGATGACTGTACTTTTCTGTATTTGACTCTGAACAGGTGGCACAACTTCCGGACTTTGTGTGACTACAGCAAGAGGATTGCAGTGGGTGAGTCCATGAGGATCCTGGGATGAGTGTCGCTTCTCTGACCTGTGAATAAGAAATAGGAATTTTGTGTATAGTATACAATTTTGCTACTTTCCCACTATCTCAGACTGCCTTTCTCTGAAAAAGTAAACAGAATTGCACAAAGGAGCAAGGAAGAGTGTCTTGACTGGCAGTGGTTGACAGTTTTTCTTTTGCCTCACTCATGTAGCTCTTGAAATTGGGGCTGACCTCCCATCTAATCATGTCATTGATCGCTGGCTTGGGGAGCCCATCAAAGCAGCCATTCTCCCCACCAGCATTTTTCTGACCAATAAGAAGGGATTTCCTGTTCTTTCTAAGATGCACCAGAGGCTCATCTTCCGGCTCCTTAAGGTGAGTGGTAGAAGGGTCCAAAAGATGGTCCAGCTATATGTCTTGCTTTATTCGCCTGTGTATGATTGTTTTTTCCTGTGAGGCTGACATTGTGTGTGTGTGTTTTGGAGTTTCGATCTTGTTGCCCAGTCTGGAGTGCAATCGTGCAATCTTGGCTCACTATATCCTCTACCTTCTGGGTTCAGATGATTCTCCTGCCTCAGCCTCCCGAGTAGCTGGGATTACAGGCATGCGCCACCACGCCCAGCTAATTTTTGTATTTTTAGTAGAGACAGGGTTTCACCATATTGGTCAGGCTGGTTTTGAACTCCCGACCTCAGGTGATCCACCCACCTTGGCCTCCCAAAATGCTGGGATTACAGGCATGAGCCACCATGCCCACCCTGAAGATGACTCTGGTTTCTGGGTAGGAATTTTAGTGAAGTTGGGTGTCTTGAGAACAAAAAGGCAAATGACAGTAGTAGCCCTAGGAACCTTTCAAAAGGAAGCAAACCTCATGAGAACTTTGCAGAAGGTTTCATTTAGGAAATTACAGCAAGGATCCATGGGGCTCTTTGGGTGTTGATGATAATTTTATGGCATAAGAGGGATTTTTTTTTTTTCTTCTTTTTTTTTTTTAAGATAGGGTCTTACTCTGTCACCCAGACTGGAGTGCAGCGACATGATCTCTGTTCACCGGAACCTCTGCCTCCTGCGCTTAAGCGATTCTCCTGCTTTAGCCTCCTGAGTAGCGGTGATTACAGGTGTGCCCCACTACCTCCTGGCTAATTTTTGCATTTTTAGTAGAGACAGGTTTCACCGTGTTGGCCAGGCTGGTCTTGAACTGACCTCAAATGATCCACCTGCCTTGGCCTCCCAAAGTGTTGGGATTATAGACATGAGCCACTGCGCCACCTAGCGTGAAGCCTTTATTGGTATTGGGACAGATGCTAGAGAACTGTTGGTTTAGGTTGGGTGCGGTGGCTCATGCCTGTAATCCCAGCACTTTGGGAGGCTGAGGCAAGTGGCCACCTTAGGTCAGGAGTTTTAGGCCAGCCTGGCCAACATGGTGAAACCATGCCTCTACTAAAAATACAAAAATTAGCTGGGCCTGGTGGCACACACCTGTAGTCCCAGCTATTCAGGAGGCTGAGGTAGGAGAATTGCTTGAACCCGGGAGGTGGAAGTTGCAGTGAGCCAAGATCACACTATTGCACTCCAGCCTGGGCAACATAGCGAGACTCAGTTTTGGGGGGGAAAAAAGAACTGTTGCCCTGGGCCTTATTTTACACCAGGGCTCTTTGGCCATGTACCATGATATTCCAGAATCTTGGTTTGGGGCTGTTGTCTGATGGTCTGACTTTTCTTACAGTTGGAGGTGCAGTTCATCATCACAGGCACCAACCACCACTCAGAGAAGGAGTTCTGCTCCTACCTCCAATACTTGGAATACTTAAGCCAAAACCGTCCTCCACCTAATGCCTATGAACTCTTTGCTAAGGGCTATGAAGACTATCTGCAGTCTCCGCTTCAGGTGGGCCTGGAGTGCTCTGAGAGGAGGAAGGTGGGGTGGAAAATGTATCTTGAGAGTTGACACCTCCAAATCTTATAAAGCTCAGAAAGCAGTGTGAAGTTTTTGATATTTTAGTGCATTGTCCTTTGCCAGAAATGATGTCCGTTTCCTCATTTATCAGCCACTGAT